GTGAAGTCGTATGAATTGTTACAAATTAGCCACCTCGTAAAATTCGTACGAATTCCTGTGAGATCGGGTTGATATATCCAACGCACATGGCAACCTTTAGCGTCAATGTAACATTAGTCTCGCGTAGCCAGACCTTCAGACTGACGGCTGAAGGTCTGGAATTCATAGCAGCTTTCTTTGGCCAAGGCCCGCCCATAAGGCCGTTTGACCGACATGTCAAACAACCAATTACAGTTCGTTTCATTCAGCGTCACGTTTCGGTGCGTCGAAATGTCCCCACAACATCAGACCGGCGTGCAACAAGTCAGTCAGCAGCAGTCACCGGAGGCGCTCGTTAACAACGGTCCGCGTTATTAAATTCACCCACGAACTCGCGCTCATGTCCATCTTATGCCCGCTTTGTCACACGGCCAGTTCAACCTCGTATAAATCAGGTTATGTGTGTAAATCACGTGCTCACAAACGCTCACTCAGACACACTGTCCCCGGCGCTGCTCGTGCGTCACAGTTATGTTCATAAAGCGCTCCCCGTTCACAGTAACCGGCTCGTCTCATTCAAAACAGCCAGCTGTAACGTTAGCTGTCAGCGAGCCGCCGCACATTGAATACTCGCAGTCAAACGTTTGACTCTGCAGTATCGTATGCACCTTATAATCCAGTGTGCGCCCAATATATGAATACTGAATCTCGGCCAGCTGCGATGTCAGCGTCTGTTGTTTCATGTTTGCCCACAAACGCGGCTGATATCCCCTTCGCAATTAAGTACTTCACTTGATCTTCCATAATTGATAGGAGGGGACATACAACTACGTTTAGCTGATCTTGATTAATGCTCATTGTCACTCATAAACACAACAGTTTTTCTTCCGCAATCACACTTCTGCGCTTTGTTTCCCGGCGGACCGAAAATAAGCGTGACACTGACGCCCCCCGGAAATCCGATAAAATTCAACCAATCAGATGACGACTTCGACATTCCTGAAGTGTTTCCAGTTAAGTGTACCATATGCATCAGACGTTTAGCCAACGTTCCGTGGGCGTGACGTCTGAGGCTGAGACTAATGTAACATGCACAGAGTTTGGATGGGTTTAGGTCTGGGGTAGGGTTAGGGTTAGACCACTAGGAGGCGCCTTCTGCCCCATGCCCCATATATCTGCATCTCATATTGACACCAAAGGGTGCAATGTGTGTTGGATGTCTAAGCATTGGCAAAAGTGTCGTATATGACGCCTTGGGATGAGAACGGGCTGAATAAAGATAAATATCTAGTTACTTTGAAGAGTTTCTATTGTTTTATAATAAACTCCTGGGACATAAAAGTGCCCGTAGCTGAAGAAACACCCAATTATCCCTCACTATTTCCAAGGTCTGAATGGTGTGTTAAGGTGGGAAACAAATCGTCACAAACTTTCCTTGTTCACGGATGGCAGCGCCTGTAAATCCTTATGGATTTCTGCTGCTGGGTTTTGTCAGGCCACAGCATAACAGACTGCCGGCCACAGGTTTACTGGAGCTTAATTTGGGCACTACGGATACACTCTCTTCCCGTGATAACAGTGCCCAGACGGGGCTGCGAGTCAGCATGGAGTCCTGGCCATGGGAGGACGTCTGACAGCACAAATCCTCCCGCAAGCTCCAGACACAACCACAGGGATTAGCAGAAAACCGCTGGTTCACATCCAGCCAGAGAACCAGTGTTACACTGGAGACGACACGGATGAGGACTTAAACACGCCACAATATGCTCTCGCATTAGGAAGCAGAGAAAATGACAGTGCATGTCACATTTCATGTATAAAAATAGACATGGATAAAACACCCTGTTATGGCTTATAAATGGATGCAATGCTTTTCATTGTTCAACCAAGTAGAGAAAATAAATATAAATATACAACTACAATCTTTTATATACACACAGGCCCTGTTTACACCTGCTATTAAAGGGACAGTCCACCCATTTGCATTAAGCTTTCCATTGTTAGAAACACAGTTATACTATTGAATGGTCATGCAGAAATCAGGACAGAAGAGATCAAAAGTGGACGAGACGGATTAAAACACCAGGTTTAAATGGGAATGCGTTTCTCTCGTGTACTTGTTATCTGGTATAGACAAATCTTAATACCAGGTGTGAACAGGGCCACACACACACGTTGTGTGAAGAAGGCTGTAAAAATAAATCTGCTTTGAATGTATATTCAAAATAATCTAACCAAGTAAAATGATTAAAAATAGAGGACAAATCTTTCATTTTATCACCACACAACTTGATGCATCATTTATTTGTATAGCATAAAAAGCCAAAGTTGTTAGATAGCTTCATGGGCAGCACTGACATACAGTATAGTGTCGTTTCAGGTCCCAGAATTTTCCCGATCCCGTCCCCTTCTCGTTTCTTGTCTACACACTATCATAATAAAATGCAAAGACACCCAATATAAATAAAAAGCCAAATTTTAACACAAAAAAGCTAACTAGGGTTTTGGATTTAGAAAAAAAGTACCACTAATAATATAATTTAATGAACCAATCAATTCCCAGTGGATAAAACAGTGCAGTCTCATATAACTGACGTCTTGGGACGTTTTTTGACCATACGTCAACATCCGCCTTTTTAGGGTACCCTTAAACGTCATAAATGATGTTATCGGATCCTAACCCTACTAAACCTACCCCGTCACCTAACTGACGCTAAAGGTAAAGCGTCAGTTGTATGACGGCCCGGGATCGTCATTTAACCGACGTTTAAGGGGACCCTAAAAAGGCGGATGTTGACGTATGGTCAAAAGACATCCCAAGACGTCAGTTATATGACGTTTTGGGATGAGACTGTGTTAGATAAAATCAAGCCATGCTCTATATTGTGTCCTTGCGCGTATTCTATTACATCTGAAATATGCCACATTATGGAAAGTAAATGCTTTTTAACGTCATTCCCTGTCATCTTGAAGAAACACAATTGAGCTGTATTTTAATCAGCCTTTAGAAATGGGAAATTCCACCGTACAATCATGACCCCATCAAGAGCTCATTTGTTAGGTGAAAAAAAAAGCCACTTGGTGACAAATGTGGGCATGAAGATTAATTATGAAAGACGTCAGAACTGATAAAAGTGTAATTTAAGAGCAGTTCATCTCTAGGTCTCGGCCCTGTCACCGCCTCAAAGGGAGAAGGCAGAGCGTGACGGTACTGGTGCACTGACACTGGCCTGTCACATTTTAATTGCTATCCCCCTCTACAAACAGAAAACAGAGAGAAAGAGGAAGAAGATAGCACAGAGAATGTTCCTGTCATTTTTTTTTTTTTTTTGTAAGACAGACCTATCGAACACTCCTGCAGCAACCAGAAGGCTAAATATAAAGTATGTTGTACTACAGCTAACGTGAAAACCTATGGTGATTTTGCATGCATTGCATCCACTTTAGATTCACACAATTTTAAAATAACATTACTAAACAAGTCACTCTCCATTCGAAAGCTTTAAAATGTGTGTGTTTTTTAGTATTTCAGCCCAAAGAATCACTCCAAGTCTTACATACACGCACAAAGCAATTTGCAGAGGAAATCCCCTCTATTTCAGAGCTCACAATGCGTCTCGGCAAGTTGTAATTTAGTCACATTGAAAGCCGAATGTCTGTTTATGTGTAATTATTCTCGTTTCTTGTGCTGCTTTAGGTTCAACCCCTCCGTGTGTGAGTGTGTGTGTGAACGGGAGGCTCCCTGAGGCATGTTCAGTAGCAGAGAGCAAATCGTAGCATGTAATCCTAACTCATGTCAGAATCCCTCGTTACTGCAGAGCTAATAATACAAACATGTTTTCTGTCACACAAATCTGCCTGAAAATAAGAACAGTGGCCTAACTGACAGAGACACAAGAGCATTATGGGTAAAACTAAGACAAAGTCAAACTTCAAGTATGGACGTTCACGTTCTATATTTCATTTCAAGCATTTTCATGTCTTCTTAATAAACAGGGACACTTGATTTTGAAAAAAAAAAAAAAAAAAACTTTATTCATGAGGAAAAAATGTTTTGTTGTAGTGGAAATGATGCCCTAATTTCTTTTAAATGTAATTTAATTTGACATTTTATTTAATAGCTTTTCCCTTTATGTAATAATTAACAATTTCAGAGAACACTTAATAATTAATAATCAAATGGAGGTTGATAACCTTAAGTTTGATCAATATTAGTAATGATGCTTTTCAATATTAGCAATGAGCACTAATAGTTTCCAAACTTTTTCATGCTGGGATGTCTCTTACTGTATGTCACTCTTCTGGGGTAATATCAATTTATTTTAAAAAACAATTTAAAAATAATATTTTTAATATTATGCAATAATTAATACTTTTTTGTATTAATTAAATACAAATTATCACTAACCCTACATATGATTTGTATGAACAGTTATGCTTTTCTTGGCAAGCAGCGATAATAATGTCCACAATTGTTGTATGTTCAGTGCAAATCATGCTGGGATGTCCCTTATGTCAGTCATCTGGGATAATATCACGGTATTTTAAACATAATATATACACACATATATATTTAAGAGCAATTAAATGTTTAATTTGATGTAAAAAAAAAGGATTTTTTAAGTATTTTAAATATTATGCAATTATTAATACTTTTTTGATAGATTTTTTTTTTCATCACTAACCCCAAGTATGAATAATAATAAAAGTGACACTAATAATTTCCACAATTGTTCTATGTTCAGTGCAAAACATGCTGGGTCAGTCACTCATGTCACTCACCTGGGGTAACATCATCATATTTTTAAAATTATTAATATTTTATATACTTTAATGATCAACAATATTATGTAACACTTTTAATTCATTTTAAGTGCAATTAAATGTTTAGTTTGAATTTTGATTTTCATCACAAACACTAAGTATGGATTAACAGTGACACTTTTCTTCGGCACAAATAATGTCCACAACTGTTTTATGTTCAATGAAAAGCATGCTGGGATGTCCCTCATGTCACTCACCTGGGGTAAAGCCCCACCCCCAAATCCTGCAGCTCTCCATCACTGATGCTGAAACAGTTGCAGGTCACCTGTGTGAAAACATGAAAAAAAAGCGTCTCAGAGTGAGGACATAATTATAATATTATCCTCTCATCATTAGTTCTCTTGTTAATTTGACTGTTTGTCTCTTTTTCCTCCCATATAGAAAGTAATGACGTGGCCTGCCAAAAACCGTTCATGCAAATCTAAATTAACTTGTGATTTGGTGAGACCAGACTTGAATAAGTTGTTCTGAGCGTTGTTGACATGGGGAAAACAACAGTGTGTGATTTCAGGGACATTTCATGAATTATTAACACTGAGAAATCCAAAAATGAACCAAATCGATTGTGCTAAATGTTTAAATGAATTAGTCATGAGAAGATATGTATTATAGTGCATTATAATACCTTTGCATAAATAAGGCATGGCCGAAATTTAAATTATTTAATGAAAATCTTTTATTTGCTGAAAATCATGTTGTAACTATCAAATATCATTCACATATCACAATTGAAAATTGAAAAGTACAAAAATTTAAATAAAAATAAATTAAAGCCAAGTAGGAATTTTAATAAAACGACAAAAACAAAATAATAGAAATGACAAAAGCACATACCAAAATTATAAAAAAAAATTAAATATAAAATTTTAAAATAAAAATTAATAAATAATAAAATGAATAAAAAAATAAATTAATGTACTATAATTTATTTTGTATTTTAATTTAAAATGTTGTATTTTTTCGGGGGTTTATGGTATTAAATTATATTTATGCTAAGAAAACTAAGACGACTTGTGGCAGATTACCGCTGAAGTGAAAAAAAGTGAACTTAAAAAACAAAAGTGGAATTTTACTTGTATTGTTCTGAAAAAAAAGCATAAAAATACTATATATATATATATATATGTGTCCCAGAACACATTTAACTCTAAAACTGTGAGAAAATCAAAGCAAAAAATCTAAACAACATGTGTTCCGAATTTGAGCTTGATATCTCAAAAAACTATCTTTTAGTAAGATTTTGTTTGGGCACAGTACCAAATGTTTCCACTAGATGAAATTAATTTCCAATGCTGTTATTTTTTACCTTAAATATAGTGTGACTTTTTTCCCCCGGACCTTTTAACCATTTCAAATCATGTCCATTCATTTTTTTTTTATTTTTTTTGTGTTCACATAGCAAGTGGCGTAACCTTTCCCAAGTTTCGAACCATTCCCATGAATTAAAAAAGAATAAAAGGAATAAGAAATTAATAAAAAAATCTGTCAAAAATTAGAGCACAAGAGGGTTAAGAAGCACAATCTAGTAAGATCATTGAGACTGCATTATAGTATTCATACACACAAGCATATCAACCCCAACTTTGACCCAATCGATTGCAAACATCCCAATGAAGAGTCTCAGCTAATGCAAATCAATTTCAACACACAGAAAAACAGCATCATGCAAACAAGAAAGAAATGAAATAGTTGACAGGCAAAAACAACCATTGATGTTGCCCTCGCAGAAAACATATTTCTGGCACATGCCCAACTAATTAATGGCTAATATATGTGCGGAGCTGCTGGGAAAGACTGGCGGCTCTTCGTGTGGCGCCATTGCAGAGTCTTTCATGTGGGGAGCGTGAGATGGGTTTCAAAAGGTGTGACTGAACGACTGCTTGGTTGCAATCTCACTGACGACAGGTTAAAGTGTGTGTTTGTGTGCATATAGCATGTCTGAGGTCTGGCATCTCGCTACACGTATCTGCACTACACAATGGAGAAGTGGATCCACACTCACCCTATTTTAGTTACATGCCACTTCATTATTCACATATTGTTTTCTACATTCTGAAAATAAGAAAGGTTGTAAAGACGGGCAAATGACCTCTCAAGCTTTCAACAGGATCCAAAAAGGATAGACTTTAACTAGATGATGTGGGGAAAATAAGTCAACGTGAAACCATCCAGATCTAATAGCGAAAAAAAAAGTGTTAACATCTGCCCAAGTAAATGCAAGTAAACTCTTTTCTACTTTACTTTTGATTTGGCAAGTAGTGAAGTTCTCAGATGAGCAATTTGATCACAGAGACATACGGGACAAACAAAGAATGGTCACTCATATAAAAGATAGACATACCACTTCCAGAATCTACAAAAATATCAATACTTTTAAAGGGATCATAAAATGATAGTAGTAGTTGCATATCTGCCAGAAACAGAATATTTACCATTTGCGAAGGACAGAAATAATTTAGATTTAAAAAAAAAAAAAAAAAAAATTGCGTTCCGAAGACGAACAAATGTCTTACGGGTTTGAAACGATATGAAGGTGAGTATTTAATGACAGAATTTTAATTTTTGGGTGAATTAACCCTTTAAGAGCAGGGTAAACCTGAATCAGATGATCAGGGTAAATTTTATGTGTTCTGGGAAAAGTACTAAATGAAAAAAAAAACAAAAACATGCTCACATATACACATCCCATTATGATACCCCATGTTGAAGGTAAAGTCAGAGCAGCCATCTGTGCTGAACTGGTGAACAGATATTCTGCAGAGCTCAGTAACTCAAAAGCACCGTGCTTCAATGACATCACACCAACTGTACTGCAGACCTGTTATTCAATGGTGTGAATCACATCTCTGCATTTCCTGCCAGTTTGGCCATCTGCACACACAACACATCACGCTCAAAGTAAATGGTGAAGTTGTTTTTGAACTTTTTAGAACTTTTAGAAATCACTGGCAGAGTTTTGTGGGCATTATGTATCATCAACTCTCTAAATAAATACGATAATTAATTTCAAACCTTGAATATCTCTTAGGTCTCTAGGTCAGGTTGGTTCAGCTGGGATAATGTGCATTCACTTCTACAATGGCAAACTTGAAATTGGCAGCCAAAACATGGAAAGGTTTCACATTTAGAGACTCATTGGTCGCTTGCTTCTGGACTGAAAACCCATCAAAACACTAAACAGCCCATTCACATTCTAGCAAACTACACAATCACTCGTTTTTCTAAAGTAATCTGTCCAACAGCGACACCAGCAGTTAAAGTTACAGTGGGAGTCTGTGAATCTTGCCTCCACTGAGCCCACTGACTTTTAACAGACCCCCTAAAGCGTGTGCTGGGTTTGGTGGGGGTTAGTTGAGAATGAATGGGGGAAAGACACATGAGAGGAGGCAATACCTCCATCACACTATGATTGGTTATGGTTGGATATGATTGGTCAGTGCAATAAATCCCACCTCTTGTTTTCCTCAGCATTCGCAAATCGGTCAGAACGAACTAAATAATGGCTTTAACGGAAAGACTAACCCAATGTCTGTTAACCCATACACCATCAGGTGGTATCACTCATTTTTGACCAGAAGGTCCGAGTGAACCAGGCATTTCGTGAGGAAGTGTGAGTTCCCAAATTCTGTTTACATTATACACAAACGATTGTACAAGCAGTCATCCCAGCATTTGTATTGTCAAGTTTTTGAATGACACTGCCATCTTGGGAGTTACAGATACAGACACTGACATTTCTGGCTATAGTTTGTAAGGTTAAAACAATGGTGTGAGGACTATCATCCGTAAATACTCGGCCCATTCTCACTCCCAAGGCGTCACCTAACTGACGCCTTGGGAAGCATTTGGACATGCTTCAATATCTGACGCTTTAGGCGCCCTTTAGCGTCAGTTAGATGACGCCCTAGGATCGCGTGTACCCTACCCCCACCCCACACCTAAACCTAACCGCGTCCTCTAACAGACGCTTTCCTTTAGCGTCAGTTAGATGACGCCGTAGGATCGCGTCATGTAAGTGACGCTAAAGGGCGCCTAAAACGTCAAATATTGAAGCATGGTCAAAGGTGACGCCTTGGGGTGAGAATGCGTTGAAATACTATAACATCTGGGGGACCATATTCCATTATTGGCCCATGACATTTGCATTACACAGGTTCATTACAACAAATTTGAGGGTGTAGCCTACATATTGACTGTCATTTGTCTTGGAATGTCCATGTGAGTTCTGTATGCACTACCGTAGGATCCTACAGCGACTCAACTACTTGCGAAGACTCAGGGTCTTTGGGGTTAGGCAGAGGGTAGTGATTTATTTTATCATGCTGGGATAGAGAGTGTATTACGTTACGGAATCATAACTTGGTTTGGTAACATATCAGTTAAGTTAAAAATCACAAATAGACTGGTTCACACAGCAATGAAAGTGATGGGGTGAGGAAGCATCCCTCCCACCAAATTTTCTTTGAGAAAACCATAGTTAAAACACACTAGGAAAATTATATTTGCCATGTCCAGTACTCAGAGTACAAACTGGTCCCATCAGGTATAGGATTCCAATTAAATATAGGACAAGATAACTGAAAAGGTATAAAAACTCTTTTGTCTCTTTGCCGGTGAATCTCCTAATTCGGGACATGGGGTGGGTGTGAAATGAGGGGCTGTGTTGTGGGTACTAAATGCACTTGTGTCTGCGATTTTTTGTTTCTGTGTATGTATTTTATGTGGCAGCTTTTGTGTCCAAGACAAATTTCCCAAAGGACAAATGAAGTAATTTTGAATCTTTAATCTAGAAGACTAATTAAAAAGTAAGCAGACAACTCACCCACCTACTGTGTCAAATCAAAATAAAACATGAAATGGCCTGACAACATGATGACTGTCGTATGTACAGTATATAGCCACTGCAATATACTCTGAACAACATACATACTCTGAACACCCTCTATAAGAGACACCAAGCTTTTAAACAGTAGTATATAAAAGCCCAGTTTATGGATACATACATTGGGTCACACTGGCTTTGTCTGCCGGGACAGAAAGGGCTCTAAACGAGCATTATGATCAGTTGTATCTCATTTGTAAAACCGCCAGCATGGCTGAGCGTGCTGACACAAAAGCACAAGGCTGTTACTGTCAGCCCCAAAAAATGCCAGCCACACCAAAAGACACGCAACTCAAAGCCCTACCGCAAACGCTCCCTGGACAGCAACCAGAACTCTGTCAGAGCCCATCAAAAACACAGAGGCTCCCTTGGAAATAGAACAG